CAGGCTATCTTATAGTCTAACCTATCAGAGTGATGCCTCTTGAATTTCCGTAATGTCTTATCTTTTATCTTTTTTATGATGGACATAATATATATACTTACACCTTCTGTATGCTCAGTATAACTTTCAGCTAAGAAAATTGAGACGTCAGTGAAGTAGTAACTTGTCCAGGGTGACACACATTTGGGAATTCAATCCTGGTCTCTTTGCCTTCAGCTTCCATACTCTTTCCCTTTAAGGTGGGGGGGGGGGAAGGGGCAGAGTATACCTTTTGTCTTGTATTTTAGTGTGTGCTATTGTATAGCTGTCTTCTTCCTTTGCTAGGTTCTAAGCTTCTTGAGGGCAGGGATTGGGCCTCACCTGTGTTTGTTTCAAGGTTATAAGGATTCTACATATTACTCTACTGTGTTTGCTCACAGGATATTGAGTGAATGAACATGAGCGAATATTATGTAATTTTCTTAGAAAATGGTGAAACTATAGGCAGTTTTTAGGTAAGAAAGGTAACATTACGTTGCTGTCTTTAGAGCAAGCCTGGACTATTTCTAGCCTCTGACAGAATATATCTACTTATCATTTATATTCTGTTAACTTCCCAAAAGAATTTGTGTCTAGAGCATTGGGCCTGACGGGTGCATGTATTGTTTGTTGGCCTTCTTGACCGCCAGGATTAACATTTATTTTGAGCTTGCTAGTATAAAAAGGACCTGAATGCTGGAAGGTGGGAATGAAGATAAGGGCCATTATAGCTTTGGAGAGGAAAGGATATTGAAGGGAAGAAACTATGTTGAGCAAGTAAAGTATGCTTTCACATGTTCTGTCCTTTTAACAAGAAACCTACGTAAGACAAGTACATATTTTCTTCATATTTACAGATGATGAAATCGAGGGTTAAGGAAAATGCTTAAAATCACAGTGATCGAAGGTAGAAGTGGGGCCTTCATCTCAGGTTTGTCCAACTCCAAAGCCCATAGTCTTTTCATATTCATTTTTTGGTGGTTGGTAGACTGCCCTTCTACTTTCTAAACTTAAAACGTTTCCAATAATTTGAAGTCATGGTTTTTACATTTTGTGGCTAGAAATAAAATTTACAGGGGTCAGCCCTGTGGCCTAGTGGGTTGAGTTCAGCGCACTCCGCATCGGTGGCCCAGGTTCAGTTCCTAGGCAGATCTGTACCACTTGTCGGTGGCCATGCTCTGGCGGCAACCCACATACAAAATAGAAGAAGATTGGCACAAATGTTAGCTCAGGGTGAATCTTCCTCAAGCAAAAAAAAGAAAGAAAGAAAATTTACATAAATAAGTGGAAACAGGATTCTAAATGGTTTCACTTTAGAAGTCAAGTGTAAAACCTTATACATGCTTACTTTAGATATAGATTCCTTTGCAGTTTAGAATCAGTTTAACAAATATGTAAAGGCTGCACGAATGGAGTAGAAGTCTATTATTAAGCATATCTTTGTATTCTGAACTTTAAAATTCCTGGAGGGCAAATTCGTTTCATATGTCCTCCTTCCTGAGATCGCTAGCCCAGTGCCTGGTACTTAATTCCATAAATGTTTATTAAGTACTTAATAAATTGAAGATTGACTAACATGAAGAATTTTATTTCTTTGAAATCAGGAGTTCCTAAAGAAGACCCTGCTCCCCTGCTATGTGGCCCTCTCCTCTATTTTTTTCTCCTGATTGTCACCTACGTGTCTTCTTTCTGGTTTATTAGCACCACCCTTCCCGATACATGCCCGCACGCGCGCAACATTTCTTCATGAATGCATTTTAAAAAAGGATCTGGGATGGGAGTTGGGGGAATGTATAATAATAAAGCAGACATGGCATTGCCTACAAGGAGTTTATCCATGTAAAAGAGATTATATCGTTTCTGTTACGGTTGATTATCACCAAATTTGAAGGACATTCTTGAGTGGTCTAATTTGAAATATAGGTTGTATGCTATATGTGAAATTAACTTTGATTGGCCCTGGAGGACAACACCTCAAAGTTCTCCAGAGAATTTTATGCTGGGGTACAATGGGAGACCCGTGTAATTGCTAGTCTATAGAAACACACCATGTACATTAAGGCTCCATGATCTAAGAAAATAATACTTTCATATAAAACCCAGATTGGCAGTCACATTGGATTTGAAGTGTTGGTTTGCAATTAGTTACTTTTCATGTGAGCAGATCTACATACTATGCTCCCATTTAGGGATTTGCTAATTTAAATATGGTTAATGATTTTCCAGGACAAAGCCTTCTTGACCAGCAGAATAACAGGACAGTGACAGCAGAATAACAGGACAGATTAGTGCTGCTGATGGATGGGAGAGGCACAACCACCCTAGGGTATCCTTTTTTCCTGCTACCCAAGAATTCTGTCGACTTTATTGTTAGGATAGGAGGCTTATTATTTCATGGTATCAGGCATTTGTGGGGAATTGTTGATGACTTATGGGATCCCAGTAGTTATGAGAGCTATATAAAACCCAAGAGTTAGTGAAAATTGGGAAATCTGCATAGACCAGAGAGAACAGCTGCAATTATACCCATTACATAAGTTGATGCACAGAAGGAAGTAAAATTGGCACAGATTGAAGCATAGAACCACCTTTGGCTTGCTGATCACTTCACAGCCTATGAAATGGAAACTGAGTGTTCCCGCTTTTGGTCGCTGGTTGAGGACTTGAGACTTTGTATTTGTTCCAAGGGAAAGATTGTTTCATCTTTCATTTGGGAAGCTATATCAATAGTGTTTGCAGTTGGTCTCAAAGGAATTGCATTGAACTTTTTAGTAGGTTTTTAGCTTAATTCCTCACCTTTTAGTGGTCGGTAGATAAGTTTAAATGACTCAGTTTAGTCATTTACTTGAGTAAAATGGAGATGCTATACAAGTGACTATGATGGAGAGTTTCCTGAAGGGATTAGTTAAATGAAGTTTTGCAGATGTAAGCCTTGTGAGCTGCTGGTTAAAGAGATGGGAAACTGGGGAATTGGAGCTGCAAGATTGTTCACTTGGTCCAAAGCTTACATAGAAAGGTGAGGCTGAACTCAGGAAATCAGAAAAAGTAAGTTTGGCTAGAGAGGATAGTATGAACCAAGAAATAGCATATGAGAATTGACAAGTAAGATTAGATGACATTGGAAAGTAGAATTAAACAAAGTTTTGTTTTCCTGATGTGGTTATGGCTCTAAGTCCAAATTCCTTTCTGGAGTTTCTTCCTTTTCTCTATGCATTGCTTCCTCTCTCCCCACCACACCTACGTACACACACAGAGGGATTAGAAGAGGCAACATTAAAGTGGCAGAACAGCACAGAAGAAAAAAAACCAAGTCAAGAGTGAGGAGACTTGGCTTTGGCGTTAGCTGTCTGACTTTAACAAGTTGCTTAAGACACGGCAGATTAAATTTGGATTAATTAGGAATTTAATCAGCTAAAGACAGCTTTTGTTTTTAATTTTTCTGCCATAAGTCTTTGGGAAGCCTACAAATTGGGTTTTAGAATATTAATGGTCTCTTTTTCCAACTGCATATCCCTGATCATTTTTAATAAATGCAGGTAAAGTCACATTATAGAAACTTTGAACGTTCATTTTTTTTTTTTTAACTTTTGTGCTTTATTGTTTTTTGTGAGGAAGATTGGCTCTAAGCTAACATCTGTTGCCAGTCCTCTTTTTGCTGAGGAAGATTAGCCCTGAACTAACATCTGTGCCCATCTTCCTCTATTTTGTATATGGGACGCCGCCACACGTGGCCTGATGAACAGTGTGTAGGTCCGCCCCAGGATTCAAACCTGCGAACCCCAGGCTGCTGAAGCGGTGTGCGCGAACTTAACCACTATGCCACCGGGCCGGCCCCTGAACATTCATATTGTTTTCTTGAGTGTAGCTCTGCTACAATGATTAAATAATTTGGTGGAAGTCCATTCTGCAAGAACTAGAAATAAAGCAGTTGAAACTAGGATATTGATTTACTAACTTACTGTGTTGAATATGAGGAGAATAAGCAAGTGAAAAGAAGTAGTAGGATCCAGAAAGAAGAGGTGAGAGAATACAGGTACCTCCTATATTCTAACAGGGCCCCATTCTTCAAACTGCTAAATCTAAATACATTTCTGGTGATGGGGCTCAGAAATGTTTATTTTTTTTTGACAATCCCAAAAACTAGTGATTCTGATTAAAAGCCTGATTTGGGATTTACACTTAATTCTACTCATGAACACTTCTAAGTGCTATCATTTTATTTTAGGAAGGTTAGGAAAGCTGAGGTAGCCTTTTTAAGCTGTGGCAGTGGGTTGGTAAAGCGTCTTAATCCCAGAACAGTAGAGCCATTATATTATAGAATTACAGGGGACATTAGGTATTATTTAATACAGAGGTCGACAAACTATGGTCCATGGACCAAATCTGGTCCTCCACCTGTTTTTGTAAATAAAGTTTTATTGGAACACAGCCACATTCATTCATTTATGTATTATCTGTGGCTGCTTTTGTGATGCAATAGCAGAATTTTGTAGTTGCAACAAGAGACTATATGGCCCACAAAGCCTAAAATATTTTCTGTCTGGCCCTTTACTGAAAAAGTTTGCTAATTTTTGAATAGGTCAGACCTATCATTTTATAGAGGTAGAAATAAGACTCAGATAAAGAGTGAAATATTCTGAGAGTACACGGCTAATGGGTGGTCAGAGTGCAAATAGAGTTTAGTTCTCCTTTTTCCTGCTTCCATTCCGTTATTTTTTGTTGGAAGGATGGATATCTGGGTGAAGTAAGAAAATACATTTGTGCTACCAAATTTTGTTTATGAGTTTATTATTTTATTACAAATCACAGTTACTAGGGATGATACTCCATCAAGTCTTAAATAACATGGCTGTACAAAAACCTTTTTAATTTGGGTCAGGGGGTAGAATTTGATTGTAGTGTATTCTGTTTCTTGAGTACAGATCTTTGGTTTGATCTGCCAAGCAGTTTGATAACAAGATTCTTTTTTGTTGCCTGTACAGCCAAATGGACGGACTGTTGAAGTGGCTGAGGAGGAAGTTGTCCGAACTCCTCAAGGTGTAACAGCAAAGCAGCCGTTAGAGACAGACAAGAAAAATGAAAAGGTAAGTTTGGGAGCATATGAAATTATATGCAAGGTTCTTAATAAAGAGAGTGACATATAAAAAATGATTCTTTTCTGTTCCACAAAATTGTATGTATACCCCCCATTTAAAGAATACTGAGAATCTGAATTTATTGTAGCAGATGTGTGGGTGGTGAAGGTTTAAGTAAGTGGTTTTTTTTTATTATTTTAAAAGGAAAGAGGTATCACCAAATATTTTAAATATTGCTGTGGCATTATTAAATATTCATTATGCCAGAAACACTTTATTCATGACTTGAACATCTTTTACATGAGTAAGTTTCCAGGTATGTAACATACCTCATATTTGAAAATTGAATTGTGTTACCTTTGTTAATAGTGTACTTCTGGCATAAAAAAAATAGATTTCTGTTGTGATGGAGACATAATTATCTACTTATTAGACACAATTGGACTTTATTTAACAAAAGAAAATGTTCTATACTCAGGTCATTACTAAAAGGTTTAGATGTACACTCTTAAGTTTTCAAATAAGACAATCTATCATACCCCGTAAATGGTACATTCCTGTGATTTTATTCATTTTCTAGTTGCCAGTGTTAGAACTGACCCATTTTTATTTGACTTAATCTAGTTTGGAACTAGGCAAAATGAGCAAGAAACTGTTAACAGTGGTTCCTCCTGTTGTGGGAGAAAGACTTTTTGTTTCATTACTTTTGGTACGTTAAGTACTCTCCCCCTACCACCACCTTTTTTTAACCCTGTGCATGCATAACTCCTTTTCAGGAAAAACAAACAACCAACCAACCACCACAGGTAGCTAAGTGTTTTCTAGGAACCAGGATGCAGCAGCTCCAGCCCCATAGAATAGTGGTGTGAAATGGTTGCTACAGTTTGTTGATGCTTGTAATTTCAGAATATCTTTGAGGAACTGGTAAGATCAGTTCTCCCCCTGTAACCCAGTAAAATTGGTCTAGAGCCAAGAAAGCTGCAGGTAGGATGGCTTAAAATGAAGGATAGTTGTGAGAAAGAATTAATTTATGTCTGACTGCCTTTGGCAGAAAAATAAATAGTAAATGACTTGTATTAACAAATAAGCATACAGTTTAGGGATTGTGAATTTTTATATGCCTAATATAGTTTTATACGTCCATCTAGTTTTCCCTTGTTTCTGGGCTTTCTCTCTACTAGTAAGCATTTCATAGTCACTCCTGCTTCCACTCCCTGAATTATCCTGAAAAAATTTGTAGTTGGAATAATTAATGAACTACCGTCTCTGATTGACTAATCATGTATAGATTGGGTGTATCAGGATATAAAACCACAGTTTAAAGTTGATAATCATTATGAAATTTTTTATGATAGGAAATAATTATAATAGTTGACAATTGTTAAGTATCTATAATATGGCAGGCATTGTGCAAGGTGAGGTATTTGTTTAAGTATGAATATATTTACATATATCTAGTAGGGACAACTTATTGAGCACTTACTAGGTGTACTGTTAAGACTTTATAGAATATTTATACGTGTTACTTTATTTATCCTCACAAGAGCACTGAGGAGGTGGTATTATACCTGTCTTGCAAATAAGAAGCTATTAAAAGTGCAGTCAGTTCTAACCCAGACTCATCTGATTTCAAAGTCTGTGCTTTTTACTGCTCTGTTATTTCTGATCCTTTCAAAAACTCTGCCAGACAGATAGTAATAGCCCCATTTTACAGATTAGGGCTCTGAAGCATAGAGCGGTTTTGTGATTTCACTAATTTCCTCCAGTTTCTGAACTAGGACTTGAACCAAGCTCATTCTGATGACAAAGCCCATGCACTTTTTAATCGCTTGGCAGTACCTCCTCCTTTCAGTTGCTGTGGCTTCTTCAGTATGAAGCTTCTGCCTTTGATCTGTTGGCCTATTTGATTTGACTTTTTGCATAATAATAGTGCTGCAACTCATGGCTAGTGTTTGTTTTTGTCGTCCTGCATCTTGAATTTATGCTTTTTTAGCTTGGTTCAGTTCAAGTGATTCATTTCCGTTCATTTTTTATGCTATTGCACTGTGTGTGTTTTTGTGTGTTAAATATGTTTTCTTACACTTATCTTTTTTTGTAAACAAACATATCTTAGATCTACTTATGCATCTTAATATACATTACTGTATATTTGTTTTCCTCTCAGAGTCACATCTTGGGCACTTGGAGAAATACAGTTTGCCCATAGAGTAATTGCACTGTAAGCTGTGATACTGAATACCTTGCCTTGTCATTGAGTAAGCCTTATAAATAAAACTTTGTCTAAAAACTGTGTATGACAAGAGTTATAGATCTTGGGTCTATAAAGCAGGTTAAACTACCGTAGTTTTCTGGGTCTTTATTTGGATATGAAGGTCGATGCTTCATTGATGATAGCCTCTAGTAGAGTACACGTAGGACCATTAGCCAGGCTGAATGCATTGTGCTACTAGATGCTGAAGGGAATAAAGAGAAATGTAAGATGTACTTACCTTCAGAGAGATTACAGTCTAGTTGAGGAAAGGCAAGCACAAGAGAAGATATCAGGTAACCTAAGGCATTGAGTGCCAGGTATTCAGAGGAGAAAGATTGTCCTATTTGGGTAGCCAGAAAAGATTGACTTAATTGGACTCTTAAGGATAGGGATGGTATTTCAGTAAGTAGAAGTGGGGAGGCCAATTTTGGCAAGGGAGAGAAACAAATGAACACATTCGGACATGATTGAGCTGAAACAAAAAAACATTTCAGATATACTCGAGGGAAAGCCCTAGACAAGTTTGACTGGTCAGGGTGGAGTGAGGATATGATAAAAACTTAGATATGTTCAGCTGGCAGCAACATTTATGATTAGCAAATCAGTCTTGCATCTATGATTGTAAGGGTCTGAATTAAGATACAAATGTAAAGATTGTTAGTAAGAGAAACAACAGAAGCAAAAATGTATAAAATTTGGTCATCAGGTTGTTCAGGATGAAATCAGAGGTATCTTACTAAAATACTGATATTATTCATTATAAGTATTAATAAGCTCTTACATTTTTGTGATGCTACGCAATGTACAAAATATTTTCTCATCTCTTAATCCTGATGAACAACTCAGGGGGGAGGGTATTAATCCTTTTCTTATACAGTTCATTAAAAAGAATTTAGTGAATTGCCCAAAATCACATAGCCAGTAAATAATGCTTCCTCAATTTCTCTGAGGTAACAGTTCTCAAAGTGTGGTTTGTGGACCCCTGAGAAGGGGTCCAAGGGATCCTTTTGTTGGGTCCCAGAAGACAAAACTACTTTCATTATAATTAAGACATTATTTGCCTTTTTCACTGTGTTGATATTTGCACAATATCAGCAGTATTGTGCAAAAGCAATAGTGAATAAAACTGCTGTCTCTTTAGCACAAATTAAGGCAGTGAGACTAAACTACTAGTAGTCGTATTCTTCGCTACAATCCACTCACAGTAAAAAAAAAAAAAAAAAAAAATGCTAGTTCCACTTGAGTGTCCTTGATGAAGCAGTAAAAGTGACAATTATTAATTACATCTTGACCTTTGAATACATGCTTTTTAATCATTCTGTATGATGAAATGGAAAGTATGCTGCGTACTGAAGAACAGTGGTTGTCTTGAGGAAAAACACTTGTACAATTGAGTGCAAGCTGAACTAGCCATTTATTTCATGTTACTCAATTTTTAGTTGAAAGAACAACTGATAGACAAGCCATGGTTATTTAGACTTGGGTATTTGCAGACATTTTCTCAAAAATAATCAAGATAGTCCTGTCACTTCAAGGAAAACAACTGAAAGTATTTGTTGCAAATGATAAAATGATGTGTTGCCAAGTGAAAATTAGAAATTTGGAAAATTTGTATCCACCACCATGAGCTTGACAATATCCCAGTACTTAAAGAATTTCTGATGAGATCAGTTATGATATTAACAAATGTGATTTTTTTTTAATATTGTATATAATGGAATGTTTTAACATTTTGGAAGATCTGTATAACTCAGTTAACCAGTATTTTCCAAAGGACCAATGCTTTCATTTTACAAAATCAGGCAAGTGTAAAAGATTCATTCAAAGTACAAGATAGACCAATGGATTTTAATGTAATAGAGTATGGAAGGTTCATTGATGCAGTCTTAGATTCCATGTTGCAACAATTTTTAAGAAACTACCACTTGACACATTTTGGTGTCATATTTTTTCCTTCCTCCACCTAAAATCTTTCGTGACTTCCCATTGCTCTTACTCCACAATCTTGAACATATTCTAAAGGCCCTGCCTGTGTCTCTTTTTCTACCTCTTACCCTCTCTAAGCTCCAGCCACATTGGTTTTCTTTCTCTTTTGTTAAACAGCTTTATTTTGAGATATACCATAAAATTCACTTGCGCGTATTTACAGAATTGTACAGCTGTCATCACAGTCTAATTTTAGAACTTTTTCCTCTTCCCAAAAAGAAATCTTGTGCCCAGTACCAGTTGCTCCCCATTCTCCTCTCCTCTTCTTAGCCCCAGCCCCTGGCAACCACTAATCTTTGGTGTAATATCCAAAGTATCACAATTACCTGAAAAAAACTTTTAAAATAATCCTCCCTTTTCCAATTACATCTATGTGTATGTAGCTAGATTTTCTTCATATGCTTCAATCAAATAACACATATCTCAGTAAATTGAATGCAAAAGTGGATATGCGAATCCACCTGTCTTTTATGAAGCCAGACATTAAAGATATTTGGAAAATGTAAAACGTTCCACTTTTTTAACTAAAATGTTTTTTGTTTTGGAAAATATAGTTATTTATGTAGGTATAATTATACAATATGTAAGTTAATCATTATTTTGAAATAAATTAATACATATCTAAACAATTTCTTAGTTTAAATTTATAATATATTAGATATCCGTAGATATAACCCATGTAAACAAAGGCTCTTTGACATCCTCAGTACGTTCTGAGAGTATATTTTATTTATTTATTTTTTTTTATGAGCAAGATCAGCCCTGAGCCAGC